GGTGGAGAGCCCAGCAGCTCCATGGCAGCTCGCGTGGCAGTACCCAGCCGTGCCTTTCATTGCTCCTTTCAGGGATTTCTCGATGCTCCGCAAGCTCCTGGCCGTGTTTGCAGGGGTTTGCTACAGCTCTGGATTCTGAGACTGTCCTGCAGCAGGGCTACCAAGTGGGGATGAGCGAGGGGCTGCTCAGGCTCCCAGTGCTCGGTCCGTACTCACGTGGAGAGGGGTCTGCAGCGGGCAGGGGGCAGCTGCCAGGGGCAGGGCCGCGGTGCCCGGGTGGAGCGGCGTGTGCAGGGTGGCGGCGGTGGCCGGACACGGAGCCTGCCGGGTGGTTCCATCGCCGTGTCCGTGTCCTGCTCAGTAGTAGGCACGCACCGCCGCCCCGGCCGGGCCCTCAGGACGGCGGGACCGGCGGGCAGCGGGTGGGGCTGGGCGGCAGGCGGGCGGCCGCGCTCTGCTCCGTCCGGAAGCTGTAGTCGTACTGCGGGGCAAAGCAGAGAGAGGGACCTGGAGCGCTGAGCCACACACAGCACCGCCGTGCCCGCGCCGGGACAGCGTAAGAAGCAGAACGAGAGAAAAACCGGGCCTGACAAGCGCCGGGCCAGGCGGGGCCATGCCAGGTGAACTGCTGGAACCACCTGAGCCCACATCAGTGACCTCCCCAGGTAGGGCTCATCCCCTGCCCCGAAATCCCGCATTAACACAAACGTGACCACACTCATCCTGCCCATAAATCAGCTAGTCAGAAACGTTGCCCCTGGCAAGTTTACACAAGCCGCTACCAGAGTTAACATTTTTAGCTGGCGAGAGGGTGAAAATCCCCGCATACAGATGCGTGTGCACGATGTCACTGCAGGCAGGGACACCCCGGGCCGAGGGCCATCCCTCGCAGCCCGCAGCGCACTGTAGCAGTGCCATCTCGTGGCTCGCTGCGAGCCGCGCCCGCCGGTCCGCGCCCGCCCGGCCGCCGCCAGGGACCCCCGGAGAGCCCGCGGGAGCGGCGGCGTTCCCCGGGCGGGCGGGTGGCGACAGCAACACCGTGCCGGGGCTACCGCGGGGCTGCCCACGGCCCTGGCACACCCACTGCGACCGCCCCGTACACGGACCCTCCTCCCGCGCATCGCCAGTGTCGCATTTGTGGCTCTCGGAATGTCACAAACGCGTCCCCCTGCGCGCTCCTCACAGCCGGACTGGGACACAGGATGTGCTGCCAGCGAGGTGGGCAACCATCAGCCATGCCGGTGCCTGGCCCAGGGCCGTGCCCGCTGTACCAGGGCTGTGCCAATCCCACCCAACCCCGAGCCCGTTTTGGTGGCGGCTCGGGAGGACAGCGGGCGATGCTGAGCTCCGGGAATCCGCTCCAGCCGAGCACACAGGGCCGGCCCGGCCAGCGATCCCCGGCAGCGGCCGGCAGGGGGCGCCGCGGCCTCGCGGCGGGACGGGCCGGGCCGGGATGGGGCAGCCCGGGATGTACCGGGATGTACCGGGAGGTACCGGGATGTACCGGGATGTACCGGGGATGGGGCAGCCCGGGATGTACCGGGATGGGGCAGCCCGGGATGTACCGGGATGTGCCGGGATGTACCGGGGATGGGGCAGCCCGGGATGTACCGGGATGTACCGGGATGTACCGGGATGTACCGGGATGTACCGGGGATGGGGCAGCCCGGGATGTACCGGGATGTACCGGGATGTGCCGGGATGTACCGGGGATGGGGCAGCCCGGGATGTACCGGGATGTACCGGGGATGGGGCAGCCCGGGATGTACCGGGATGTACCAGGGATGTGCCGGGGGCTGTAGCCGGGCTGTACCAGAGTCTGTACCTGGGCTGTACCGGGGGCTGTACCAGAGCCTCTACCGAGGCTGTACCAGAGCCTGTACTGGAGCTGTACCCAGGCTGTACCAGAGCCTCTACCGAGGCTGTGCCTGGGCAGTACCAGGGGCTGTACCAGCCTGTACCCGGGGCTGCACCAGGCCTTTACTCCCCGGGGCTGCACCTCCCTGTCGCGATGCTGCAGCCGCTGGCACGCAATAGGCCTCATTTTTCAACACCCAAACGCATAAAGATGTCAGCTCAAACTGTTTACTAATTAACACTTAAAAAGACACAAATTAGATATGCGTGGCTAAGAGCAATTATAATCAAGACGAATCTCTCCAGTCATTGGGGAACTGAGGAAACTCCTAATTGCTGGAACCAATGTTTTAAAATCTGAAATCATGCCAGTTAGCAAATATGTTCATTTAAAGAACATTTCATGTGACTGCACTCAGGAGAATTGACTACAAACATGCAAACAAGGAAAAATATTTCTGTGTAAAATTAAAATTTTAAGCTCTTCTAGATTTACAACTTCTTCATTAAATATATTTGCAAAAAGCAGCCCATGAAAACTTGTAGCAATTCAGTGGTTAAATGAACTGCCTTCCTTATCAGTTTAAAAGGAATGATGAATATTGGATGCTCCCTTTACTAATTAGACTCTCTCTAGACTTTTTACACCACGCCAAGTGCAAATGAAGACAGGGTGCACCCTGCCAGCGGCCAGACCGCTGCCCTCGCTGCCACAGCATCTGCCAGAGCTGTGAACAGTGACAGTGCCACCACCTTTGCTATCACCTGCACCTGCCCAGGTGCCTGCCCAGTGACTCTACCCTACCCAGGACAGGCAGGGGTAGAAGGACAAACCCCAGAGCCCTGCTGGGAGACCTGGCAGCAGCGCTGTCCGTCCTACATCCACCAAATTAGCCCTGAAGTGACAGCACTGCTTACACCAGCACTTCACCACCTCTTCATAGCCCAGCTCTCTGTGCACTCTAGCCTCGGGCACAGCTGTGCCATCCTGGGGCAACGAGAGCAGTTCAGGTGCAGTCCAGGATTTGCACATAGTTCCATCATCTTCCTGACAGAGTAGAGTCCTGAAATTCAGCTGCCTGCAGCTTGGAGGATGGGTGCATACATCTGCAAATGTGGTGACAGAGAACAGTAATTCTTGGAATTCTCTGGGAATATTTTTTGCAAGGCATCTTGCTCCAGGGAGAATGTTCTGGCTGCTTTGGATATCCAGAAGATTTGCTGTAATGGTGCTATTGCTTGCAAGGGAAATAAAGCCATGCCGAAATTCACAATATTTATATGTGTAGCTCTCTATGTGCAGACAAGATGCTTCATCAAGGAATATGGGCTGCATAATCATACTTTTCATTATACTGGAACGCCCAGCCTGCTACAGAGCAGGAGCTGTGGGAGAGCAGGCAGGTCTTGGCCTCTCCTCCCTGGCCCACGAGGGAGTGCTGGTGTCCCCCACCCCACAGGCCTGCGAGGGCACTGCTGGGCTGTGCAGCCCAGCCCCTCCAGGCAGCCCCCAAGCTGCCAGACCTCTCCCACACCAGGCAGCACACAGAGACGATGCAGAAGCGAGTTCAGCACCACACGGATTCCCCTTTGGCCAAAGGGACCATCTGCTCCCTGGCCAGCTTAGGGCAAGAGTGGGAAGGCAGCCAGGCACGAGAAGGGCTGCCAGCCCTGAGCATCCCCTGCTGCCAGAGTCCCTCCTGACAGACACAGGCAGTCCCAAACAGAGAGGTGGCACGTGTGCCACGTGGCAGACTGCAGTGCCTGAGGCTGTGGGTGCATCTGTCAGCCACTGCCCATGCAGGCAGCACCTTCAGATCCACAGCTGCAGCCACTGCAGTCCCACGGGGCACCTGCAAAAGCCCTGGCAACTGGGCCTGATCATCTTCTTGTACTCAGACAAAACTTTCAGGCAGAAGAGGGTGGATCTGGGCAACTGGACTTAACTGGAATGAAGAAGTGGAGAAACTCTGAGGCATGTGGCAGCTTTGCAATGTCATCTTCTCACTCTCTCCCTTGAACCCAGCTAGATGGCATAGGAGGAGGCCTTTGCGACCAATGGTGCCTGAAGAAGCACGTGCTGCTGAGACAAGTTTTTCTAGTCTGAGAGTTCAGATGTGAAGCACCCTTCGCAGGGCAGACAGCTCCTTGGCACCGTGCCACACACGTGTGTGTGCCAGAACGCTCCCTCAGAACCACCCTTGGTTTGGTGGCGGCCTCCTCCCTGTGCTCCTCAAACATCACTCCCGCTAAAGTGCAGCCCAGCTCTCCCAGCAACAGCAAACCAAAAGCTCATGAAGATGTTCACCTGATGTTGCTGAGTCAGGTCCATCCGCCTCCCTGACATGCAAGAGGCACCTAAGGGTGTCCTGTCACTACCATGTATTGTTAATACGTGAGAAAGAGAGGCTAACCAAGACAGACATCTGGAAATAAACAGAAGGCCCCACACTTTGCCATTAAATTCACCACCTGAAGTGTCTTCACTCATCACAGGTCATAGAAGGCATCCCTGACCCTGGGCTTACTGCTTGACTTTATCCATCCTCTGTGACTTGGGAGAGACAAGAAAAGTATTTTCCATAAGGAAAGGGTTCTTAAAGAGAAGTGAACACAGCCCTCCTGATTTGCTTAGTGCCTGGCAGGCTACTTACCTCCTTTTCAATTTCTGCAAGGGTTTTGATTGTGATACCCAAGAGATCAACCGGCTGCATCTGGCAAGAAAGAAACAAAAATGTCAAGTTCAGGGTCAGGGAGGGGGTGTGTGTTTGTTTGTTTGTTGTTTTGTTCTGTTTCAAGTCAGCAAACACTCCACCACTAGAGATTTAGAGGCACCATCTGTAAACACAGGCACAGTCCTGTTCCTCATTCCAGTAAGAGACTGGAACAGCAGACGGTGGCTGGGGCTACCAGCTTCAACACTGCTCTCCCTCAGCACGACAGCTGACACTCACCTCGTGCTGCTCTGCCACCTCCCCACTGCAGGACGAGTCTCCAACACCGGCTGCAATTCTGTGGCTGCAGCACAAGGTGTGAGTGGCACCAGCTGCAGGAAGCCCTGACCAAACTGACCATATGGTGGCAATGGTGTCTAAAGGATCCGCGGGGAGGATTAGCACGACCTAATCTCTCTGCATTTGTCCTCACAGCAGGGACTTCAGATTTCTGGGAATAATGGCCCATAAACAACCCTCTCAGAAAGCAAGGGATGTGAAAAACCGCTGTCAGCAGGAGGAAGAAAGCAAAAAGCTGGAGCACTACTGAAAAATCAGACACAGCTGATGGCCCAGTGTTTGCCTTAACAGCTTCCTGTAACTTGATTTTTAAAAAGATGCTGCTTTAGGATCAGATGGATTCAGGAACTAGTAGTGGGATGCTGAATCTTTCAGCTCTGGATCATCAGCCTTAACAAGTACTGGTCCAGTGAGAGCCAGAGGTCATTGTGAAGCAGCAGCAGTGTTTCTGTCTGGGGAAGCGGACGTGCCCTGCCCGTGCAGGTGCACGTTCTGCTGGCGTGGCCCTGCTGTGGAGCAGGCACCACCCAGTGCCCTCTCCAGCTCGCCCACGGCCAGGCAGGACCCTGGTGGCACTGGAGTGCACCGTGCCACTACCACTGCCCTGAACTGCTGGGGTGACAACAGGAAGCAGTAAAGCTGCTGGCACTATGCCATCCTCACAGCAGGTAAATGCAGGAGAACTCCACCTCTGCAGCTTTCTTTACAGTCTAGGCTAAGACATTAGAAATGCTCTCAGCACCAGGAAGTCCCATTGCCATTCCTATTTTTGATGGTAATAAACCTTGAAATCCCAGGACAATTCAGTTTTAGCAGCAATCTGGCAAAAGCCTTTCCCATCTCACAGGCAGCTATTGTGACATGCAACCTCAGCCCATCTCAAGCACTGGGTATGTATTTGGCCACACTGGCTATGAATTACCCCAGAAGCAGGTAATTTGTCTTGATGTTTTGTGATTGCTCCCCATGAAACGATGGATTTCTGGCACAGGGGGAACAACAAAAGCAACTCACCCCTTCAGGAGCACAGGCAAACTTCTCCGAAATCATGAAAGGCACTCCATCCATTGCTGAAAGGGACAAGACATCACATGTGACGTTTCCAGCTGCCTTCTGACATGCAACTTCACACATTCCCAGTGACAGATCAAGTAGTCACAGCACTGACACATGACTGATTGCTCCCAAACATTACTGCCAGCCTTTTTCTCCCTCTAAGCTGCCAGTGGTTTCTTTCCATGTAAGACATAGCTGGGTCAGTCCCTACCAAGCCAGGAATCAAACAAATTCTCCTTGCTCTATTTATATACGATTTCACTGCCTCAGTTTTGCATTTTCCAATTTCGTGCACCTGGCAAAGTAGGACAGTATTTGGAACTGGAAGGACACATTTCTATTTATCACCTCCTCACCAAACCAGTTCAGCACTTGAGCAAGAGAATAAGAAACAGCTGGTTCAGGGGACTTGTAGCCCCCAAAGCAGTCAACACCACCACGGCAGCTCACACCCCAAATACACCCCCTTTATTGCACTTACACCTTTAACATCTGAAGTCTTTAAATTTCAACTCTGAAAGAAATAAAGCTTCAAATTAGAGCAAATTTAAGCCCTGATAGGCCCTCCAGTGATCCTCAAATAGGGTTTTCTTTCAGAAAGCATCTGTGCTCACAAACCCAGTGCTCTTCTGTCTGCTGTTTCTAACTTCTACAGCACCACTGAGTTACCATGTTAGTGATTAAACAAGGGTCATTTAAGAATACTCAGCCTTCTACATTTGCTTTGTCTATTTTCAATGTAAAACCCCCTCCACGGGAGTAATTTTGTTATCAAAGGTGCTGTGTGGCAGCCACAGAGCAAAGGAAAACAAAAGCAAACAGATGAAAAGCAGCATCACCAAATCCAGGAAGTTTTAAACCTGAAAGACCATCTGCACTTGTTATCCGACAGAAACCCCCTTTGATCAGCCACACGCCAGTTTTGTAAAGTGATCTCAAGCCTGAGCTCCGGAGCTGTGGCTGCTGGCTGCGGAGTGTGCGTGTCCCAGAGCCCCGTCCCCCGGCCCACCCGGCGCTCAGCGCGCCAGAGCACAGCAGCAGATAAAAGCAGGGTGAGCCAAGGGCTCCGCAGCGCAATTAGCACGCTCCTAAACAAACCAGCTTCAACAGAGCTGTAATTAAGCAGGCCTGTAATTAAGTATATGCCCTTTATCATAACGATCATGCTTAAAAATGGCACGATGCATGGAAGTGTGTTATTAATGCTGCGCTCCCCAAGCGCGGGAGCGTGTGCAGAGCTGCCGTGTCAGGCCCGTCACCAGCCTGCTGCTAAAATGCATTAAAGGCAGAAAGCAAAAAACAAGGTGCTCATTCAGAGTCTCCTTTCTCAGCCAGGCACCGGTGTCACGGGGGTTTAAATACCACCAATTCTGGAAACTTCACAGAAACGAAGCCCTGGGCAGCCACTGCCACTGCCTGCCCCAGCACCAGGAGGGCAGCAGCCCTCACCCTTCGCCCCGTGGCTGGGCCGGGCTCCAGGAGCCCTCTGGCCACCCAAGGGGCTGCAGGCAGGCAGTGGGGACCCCCAAGACAAGATGCACGCAGTGGGTGTTTGCTGTCTCCCAGGATCAGCTGCTTCCTGAGGGTCACAGCTAATTAACTCAGGCACTGCAATTAGTTAAGAGTTGAAAGGAGCCAGCAGCCAAAACAGGACAGTGTTGCCATGCATCCCTGGCAGCAGGAGTGGATGGATGCTGCGGCGAGGTGCAGTGGACATGCCCCTTCATGGGAGCAGGACCACTGGAACTCACCACCGGCTTCCACCTGGTGGCCACTTCTTCACTGTAATTTACCACGACTTGCTCTCAGACTCTAGTGGGGAGGACACCAAGGCATGCTCTATAATTCAACTTGCTAGCTTGCTTAGAAATCCTCTCTTTAATCTGTGCAAGTATTGTCACCCTTCTCTGAGCACTCGAGAGATGCTGCCTTCTGTGCTGCAGACTCCGACTAAATCTCAGTTGTCAAATTAGTAATTCATCTTTCTTGAATAACTATATTTTTAGCCAAGCTACCAGATTTAAATAATCAGACCTGCCAATGCTACCCTAATTTAAACATGCTGACGAACTTTCACAGGCAGCATCAGCTAACATAATGAGTTTCTGGATGACAAAGAACTTCAGACGGTAGTTCTCTACACTACCCAGCGTAATAAGCACTTGTTCTTTTCTACAATGTGCACATAAAAGAGAAATCTAAATAATAGTTGCTGTAATTATCTTGAAAAATATGTGGTGATTAATGGTGATTATGAAAATCTGTATAATTGTTCACTAACGCTCCAAAGATCAGATGCTCTCTTGAAGCAACCATCAGTGAAGAACTTGGAAACACAAAAGCTTCCAAGCTGCTGTCTGTGTGAGAGTGGGATCACAGTCTGCCAGCTCAGCCTTCGCCCTCCCGTGACCTCTGCCAGAGGCCCCAGGATGCCCACGATGTGACGCATGTGTCATTGTGGCTGAAAGCACCAAGTTCAACCTGTTATTTATGCAAATAATTAATTACTCCTGTATCCAACTCACAGTTTGTCATGACACATTAATGACTTGATAGACTTCTATGAACTAGTGAGCACAGGACAGCAGAGTGCTTTTATCGTCATTTAATTTAAAAACGATCCTGTGTGAAATTATCTAGTTGTGAGTGATGGAAGCATAAAGAACAGACTCAGCAAAGCTTCTTTTGGATCATTGCTTTATTAATGGTAACGTCAGGGAAATGAAAAATGCTAACATTGTCATATTTAACTCCTGGGTACAGATGAATCGCTGCCTCAGAGCCTGGCAGGCTCCGTTTGCACACTGCAGTGAGCGCTAATTCCTCACACCACGATTGTGGGGATACACAGCCACCAAAGAGTTTATATACCTTAACTCCCAAGGAAATAACAGCTGTTTCTGCATTAAATTCTCACCATAAGCTTTTATAGCTTTGGTATTTCTTTATTGCTGGTTTTGCACAGCCTTTTACACTTGAATTTTCAATTTCTGATATTAAAAATATTTAAATAAATAAATCAATCCCTTGCAAACTGCTTTCCTGCATGACTGAAAATGAAGAACTGTTAATCCAAACCAACAAAAAGCCCAACACTGAGTACACTACTACCACCTTTAAAATTTAAATGACCTTAGATTTTAGAAAGGCCTTTCTCTAATGCTGCAGAACTGTTCCCATTTTCCCCAGACCTGAATGCTAACAGAGTGTTTATCCTTCACCAAGAAGAGTATCTCATAAACCAGCCTACAGCAACACCATAAAACCAGCAGAGCTCCCCTGCTTAGAGAAAACTTGATTTTCAGCTAAATGGCACCAGAGGACTCTGAAAGCAGATTGAGAATCAGGGCTGGCACGCAGCTCTGGCACAGCAGCACTTGGAGGGGAGCCATGGTCAGGCTGGAGGGACACAGGAGCCCTGTCTGGTGTGGGCAATAGAGGTGCCCACCAGAATGGCCACTGAGCCCAGCGGCGGGTGGGCCCCCAGCGCACAGGAGCTCTGAAGGCCGTTCACTGAAGCAGGAAAGCACAGCCACGAGCAGCGTGTGCCCAGCCTGGCGAGGACAAGGGACTGCTGTCTGCAGCAGCAGCACAGCCCTGCACGGGGCCAGGCTGGGGCTCAGCTGAGGTGACCCACAGCAGGCAGGACATGCCATGGGGAGCTGGTGGCACAGCGTGGTGCCATCCAGGGCAGTCTGCAGCCGGGCCACCTGCCCTTGGTGGCCTCTTGCAGCTCCTGCCAAGCACACAGCTCTGGCTCCCACCCTCTGCTTCCCACCACAGGTCCCAGTGTGAGCCCTGCACTCGTGAGCTGTGCACCCGTGCATGCAGGGCAACGCAGGACGCCCACACAAACCAGGCATGCTGTGCCCTCAGTACAGGGAAAACCATGCAGATCTATGAAGAAACGTTTTCAAACAGTTTGCAATGCATCCAGAGAAGGGTGTGAGCTTTTCAAACCAAACCAACTCTCCATGATGCTAAGCCTCCTATTCCTGTATTTCTAAACAGCAACCTGAACAGTAAATGTGTGTGTTCTTTGTGCTACAGCGCACCAAGGCCCATATGGAACCACACCGAATCACTGATGGTGAAGCCTCAGGGCCAACACCAAAAGCAGCCTTTCCTGACAGCTCCTGCCAAGCTGGCTGCAACAGGGAACCTGCAGCTGTGCCAGCTGTGCTCCCCAGCTGCAGACACCAACTACAACATGCATCTCGTAGTGTCACACAAAGAAGCGCAGCGGTGCAGGCAGGGGCACAGGCAGGGCTGCAGGGCTGAGCTCTGCTTGCCCAAGGCACGAGCCCAAGCTCCTGAAAGCCCCAGAGGACTTCATGTGGCTCCGGGGGCAGCAGGGCTGCAGGTCCCGCGGCTCCTGGGCAGCAGGAGCTGTCCCCAGGGCTGTGTGGGGCAGCGAGGCAGCAGGGCACAGCCAGCTGGGAATGCCCAGCCCGGTGCCCCGGCCTGGCCAGGCAGCAGGATAGCAGCAGCACCAAACCACCCAATGCCTGCACCACTGAGTGGGACAGCAGGGGCCTCCTGGGCTGGGGAAGGAGCCTCTGCTTTGGGAAAGGTTTACAGCTTTCCTGTTCCTCTTGGAATTACTTTGATTAAAAATACAGACCTGGACTAAATTTTCATTTTTGCTAATTTGATTGTCAGCCTTGATTTTCTCCGTTTCCTGCATAGCTCATGACATGGCACAATTAGTTCTTTATTGCTAAGATCAAGCCACGAAAACACTTGAAAAAGTACCCCTGGATTTGATTATTTTCTTTTTTAAATAAAGTGAAGGTTAAGTACTGCATGGTGACGCCTAAGGAGCACCTCAGCACTGTGACTCCATCAGCACCAGAGAACATGGAGAGACTTCAAACAAGCTCTTCAAATTGCAAGTGTTTAGGAGCTCTTGATTTTATTATTTTTTAATAAAATGTCCCCTTTGAAGTCTCTGCACCACACTAAACTTCAAAGATCACACCTTAGCATGTGCTGTTTCCAAGCCACAACCCTT